TTCTATTCACTAATTCTGTTCACAGATCTGTTAATTGATTTTTAGCAGCTGATGACACCATGCACAAAAGTAAACATTCTAAGCACAATGCTTTGATCGTAGGCTTTAGAAAACAACCAATACTGATCACATTGGTGTTATCGTTTGCATCAAATGATCAAAATTGTATTTATTTTTTCTTTTGTTACTCAGTGATTCCTCCGCGTACCACTAGAAGTAAGCCTGCGTACCACTAGTGGTACACGTACCACAGTTTGAGAACCACTGGTCTAGGGGGTCGAATCGAGAACGCAATTTTTTTTTCGATTAATCTTGCAGCTTTACTATTCAGTTAATGGGGCATTTTTTATGACTGTATTCAGTTTCCTGTAGGGTTGGGTACCAAAACCAGGTACCGTACCTTTGGAACCGGTATGCACCGGATCAAATCAGCATATGAATTTCGGTGCCTAATTTCGGTGCTGCAACAAGAACGTAAAGCAGGTTGCGCACCAGAAGCGCCACTCGGCGACGCACAACGCTTGAATTCGCAAGTCCGCGGCTGTCTGCAACGCCCAGGCACGACTCATGTCTGTTCATATTTTTGCCATGCCACAAAGCGCCATCTGAATAGTTTCCTTTAAAATAACATGCGAATGTGCACGTCTGGTGTGTGATACTATCAACTGTCAAGTGCGCGCCATGCTGCAGCTCTGAGCGGCGCACCCACTGTGTGACGCCCTTGAACAACACAAAAGAGTGCATTAAAGGCACACATGAGTAAGCGTCTCACTTCATCAACACGCAAGATCGCGTTCATCTAATTTGCTTAAACTAAGCATTCTAAAGTATGGCTATATTTTACAAGCAACAGTTATATTTTACAAGTGAACAGTGATTTTTGATTATCTTAAAGGACCACAGACACAAACTGAGGAGTAAACATTAGGCTGGTGACACAATGATGTTACTGATCTATGTGCTATAACATGCAACTGGGAATTGTGAATGTAACATTCAAAAAGCAACTCATGTAAACAGCTGAATCACATAATTGTCTTATTCAGATTAAGGCAAATCATTAGATCACTGATGTCCACGTAAAAGTAGTCACAAGCCCCAAACCCAGAAAAAAGGTGTTCCCTGATTTTGATGACAGCCTTTCTACAGGATAGTAATCAGCTAATGTAATGTTAATAGCATTATGCAAAGATTGCATTTATGCTAACAAACAAATGATCAAAAGAAATATATTAATGCAATTCAAATATATAAAATAAGAATTGATGTTTACTTTAAATGTATTATAAATAAATATTTATATTGTTCAATTATAATGATAAAAAAATGTATATGTGTGTGTGTATATATATATATGTATGTATGTATGTATGTATGTATGTATGTATGTGTGTGTGTGTGTGTATATATATATATACATATATATGTATGTATATGTATGTATGTATGTAATATATATATGTATGTATATATGTATGTATATGTGTATGTATAGATATATATATATATATATATATATATATATATATATATGTGTGTGTGTGTGTGTGTGTGTGTGTGTGTGTGTGTGTGTGTGTGTGTGTGTGTGTGTGTGTGTGTGTATATATATATATATATATATATATATATATATATATATGTAATTATTATTATTATTTTTTTTTTTAATTGTCTATTAATTTTGTGGCTAAAATTGTTTTGGCACCAGTACCGTTTTAAAAGTATCGATTAAGCACCAGTATCGAAAAAAAACCAAACGATACCCAACCCTAGTTTCCTGCATCTCAGAAACCATGGGGCTTTATTAACCTTATCAGTACAAAGACTAAAACCGTACATGTGTTTGTTTACAGACATAAAAGGAACTCTATGTGACTCAGGTCATCTGTAATGTCATAAAATCAAAAGTTCAAAGCGTCAACAACTCTTTGTTACTGTAATACTTTTAATGTTACTTAGAAATTGTGACATAGGAGTGATAAAACATTGAAGGTCAAAGCTTTTCAATATCATAAGAACGAGCAAAAGATAATACTTAGATAGAGCTTGTAAGATTATTAACAATAACTGCTGCAATAGTCATAAAATAAAAGTGATTTTGTTCTTGTGTTTATAATGCTGTCTAGGTAGGCTGCTTATAATGTTTTGAAGCTGATTTACGGCCATTGGGGGGGTTTGCTATTAAATTGTCAGCCTGGTATTTATGTTTCTTGCGTCAGAAGCGTTTGTACCGTGATGATCAGTCACACATAGACATGATGCCAAATATAGCGTCCACCCAGAGCAGGTTGAGAAGGGAACTTTTCACCTCACTCCGGGACAAAATTTCCTCATGACGTGCCAAGAAGACGAGGCAAGTAATTGGAAACAATCTAATCAGGACGGTCAAGTATCATCAGAGGAAACGTATCAGAATACCACGTGTCTTGTCTTTATTTAACACTGTTATGTTCACTTCCATTTATGTGGATTGTGAGTATTATGATTAATAACCGCCTCTGCTAAATACATACGGGCATAAATCAATCATAAATAGATCGGACAAGATGCAGGAGTACTCACAGTCATCACTCTCTCTCTTCGCAGTGTGAAGCTTCATAGTTTTTGAAAGTGAATGATAACTTGTGGGATTGTGGCCAGACTGGAGTTCAGTGAGGAAAATGACCCTGAGCTGAAATGTAGGGCAGAAATAATGTGAGGGCAAGAGAAAGGCATTAAGACAAAGGTACATTCAAGAACACACAGCTCTAGGAGATTAAGGTCAAAGTCGAAAACAGATTTATTAACGCTTTATAGGGAACACATTGAAATACTCGTTGGAAAAACCTTGAGTGTTACTGGGGGTTAATATTATTAAGACTTATGACCTTTATGACTTTATTGTAATCAGTGTTGAGGAAGTTACCATATATGGTTCTTTGCCCAATTAAAGGTTAAAACACACACACACAAACACACACACTAGGGTTGTCATGATACCATTAATTCATGTCACATTACTATACCAGCTGAAGTACCGTGATACCAAGTAATACTGCATTACTTAAATTCATAATTAAAACCCATAAAAATAAAGAAAAACATCAAAAATACTATATTTTATTCATTATATTTTATTTATTATTAAAAAGTATTTGCACGTCTCTTCGCTGAATTTATTTGTACCAACAAAAATACATTAAAATAAAGATACAGATTATACCAAATAAATTCATTACATAAAGAGCATTTTTTCCCCCAACAAACTTATGCTATATGAAGTGGTCAAAAATTGTTCCAGTGTTTCCTTTTGCTATTTTAGGATTTTCATCCAATGTTTTTTTTTTTCAGTCTTATCAGTTAACAATCCAAAGTAATCCAAAGTGTTGTAGCTATTAAATTATATTGACAGGAGCAGAATTGAACTGATTCAGATCCATAAATCTCCATAAACTATTAAAATAAAATGGTCTATTGTTCCACGAACGTGTGAGCATTTAATGACTTTTTTTTTCACATGCAACATTATGTTTTATAGATAGACTGTTAATGACGATACTACCGTTTACAAACAACAGTGGTACCGGCAGTATTTTGGAGCAACCCTAACACACGCACACACATACAGTATATATATATATATATATATATATATATATATATATATATATATATATATATAGTTTTTTTTATTTATATATATATATATATATATATATATATATATATATATATATATATATATATATATATATATATAAACACACACAGTTGAAGTCAGAAGTATTAGCCCCCTGAATTATAAGCCCCCCTTTATTTTTTCCCCAATTTCTGTTTAACGGCAAGCAGATTTATTCAACACATTTATAATCATAATAGCATCTCTAATAACTGATTTATTTTATCTTTGCCATGATGACAGTAAATAATATTTGACTAGATATTTATCAAGACACTTCTATACAGCTTAAAGTGACATTTAAAGGCTTAACTAGGTTAATTAAGTTAACTAGGCAGGTTAGGGTAATTAGGCAAGTTATTGTATAATGATGGTTTGTTCTGTGTAGACTATCAGAAAAAATATATATCATAAAGGGGCTAATAATATTTTCCTTAAAAGGGTGTTTAAAAAATTTTTAACTACTTTTATTCTAGCCGAAATTACAAATAAGACATTCTCTAGAAGAAAAAATATTATCAGACATACTGTGAAAATTTCCTTGCCCTGGTAAACTAAATTTGGGAAATATAAAAAAATAATAATAATTCAAAGGGGGGCTAATAATTCTGACTTCAATATATATATATATATATATATATATATATATATATATATATATATATATATATATATATATATATATATATATATATAGCCATTAATAATAATAATATGATAAATGATAATAACAATTGTCAGGGTCAACATATATGAGATTTGTTAGCAGTCTAATGATAATTTACTGCTTTGTGTAACCCATGGCTTTATATTTTAAGTGTAATTGTGGTATTATTACTCCATTGGTCATTTTTACCACAAGGGCGGAGTTTAAATCTCTTTGTAAACTAAGAACAGCACACAATCACAAAAAAACACTGTTAATCGGCTTTAATTTACACCGTGTGTTCAATATGACCTTGTGACATCTCTATAACACAGATCGTTTTAATGTTATGTTTACTTTCTTACCTGGTTTTATCCACGTCATTGTTTACTTTATCTCCGCTTAATGTGTGTTAAACAGAAAATATGTGCTAGTTCGCAAGATTTGGTGGTATATTTCCACTCTTTAACTGCCCCTCAGGAAAAGCGCGTGCTTGACGACGTGCCTCTCCACGCGCGCGACCCGGTGAAAGAAGCACAGCGACAGGTGCGAGGCTGGAACGGCGCCAATATGCAAATTTAAACGACGACTCAAGCGCTGATTGGTTCACTAAGAGCGGCCTCACTGGCAAGACACCCACGTCTCTTTGACGCAAGGCCGAGCAGCCTATATAAAGAAGGCGAAACCTAGTCCATCAATGAAATAGTAAAAAGAGGGAGATTCTGGGAGAAAGGAAAGGAGAGAGAGGCTGAAAGCATTCCCAAGGAAGCGATTCCTTTGCTAGTGTCCTATCGCGAAGACCAAGAACAAACAAAGAGGATCAGAATGAAGTTTATTATTGGAATAGGGGGGTGAGTACTCACAACAACACCATTATTAACATGTATTATACACTCTCATTGTTTAATAATGTGTTTTTAACAGTGTGACCAATGGAGGAAAGACAACTTTGACTGGAAGACTCATAAAGAACCTACCAAACTGTTGTGTGGTTCATCAAGATGATTTTTTCAAGGTATGAAGATATCCCACAGTATTTTATTAATACTTTCTTCATATGTATTGTGGCACATAAAAGTATTTGGACATTTATGCCTTGCTTAAGAATGTATTAATGTTATTATTAATACATTTTAAGTCTGGCGTGAGTGTCTGAATACTTCAGATTCAGAATACAGACAATGCTAGATTATAATTAGCGCCACAGCATTTTAGAGGGACAGAAAAGGTAAAGACATTTAGGACTTGAATCATTTGTTGTATTTATGGACCCATGTGGTTCATGAACCCTATGCTGGTGTTCTCCTGGACAGCCAACCTCAAACAAATACACAAATGATGGATGCCTAAAATAATGTACAGTCTAGCAGGCATTCATTTGAAGCATTAAAAATGCTAATTCCACTAATACGATTCTCTTGCTCATGCCATAGTCAATCTATGGCATGCAAGAGGATCTGGCAACCCTTCAAAACTCCAATCGCGCTCTCATATCGGCATATTTAATAACACCTCTTAAGTGCATCACACACACATTCCTAACTGTCTTCGGAGGCTTTTTTTACACCGGGAGCCTCTTGAAGAATTGCATTTTTAACATGCTGGTAAAGATAATCAATCCAACGAATGCACATTTAGTGCACTGAACTCAAATTAAGTCAAGTACACACTTCAAATTGATATTTGAAGACTAGGCTGAGGGCTTGGCGTCACATGTCCAGGTGGGACCAGCACTGCCTGAGCGATCTACACCTTTTTGTTTTATTGGTCACTGTTATTGCAGCCCCAAGATCAAATAGAGCTCGGGGAGGACGGCTTTAGACAATGGGATGGTAAGAATGGCTTTCGCTGTGGGAAGAGAAACAGTAAAGTATTCCCACCTTTCCATAACCATTCTTGATGTTTGCTTTTTTTTTTGTAACCTTAAACCCAGCAAACTATTTTTTTTCTTCCAACATGCAGGTCGAAAGTTTGGACAGACTTACAGTACAACACATGATTGTTTTCCACAGTTTTTTCCATTTTAAGTTGTGGTTACATGCTCTAAAATTACGTTTCAAATGATGATTATTGGAGTATGTTTTAATTAATGTATTATTTTCACTTTAAATGTGTCGCTTGCCATTTCTGTGTAATTATTGATGATAAACAAAATCAATTTCTGAGTAAAATCTGTGCACCAAATTTGTTACCACTTAGTGTTTTTAAAGCATCCCATGATGAACCTAATGACTTTGGATGATAAATGAGCTGATTACTTTTAACTTTTAAATGTATTGGTATATCTATATTACCATTTATGTCTAAGATACTATAGCCATAATAAAGAGTAACATTAATAAGTGTGTCCAAACTTTAGACTTGTAGTGTAAATTTGACTCACAGTCTATAGTATTAATTATTAACATCCCTAAAAAGGAAAAAGACAATAATTTTAAAAGAGCAGAAACAGTTTTAATGCATTACGGAAATGTTATCCAAACATGTGAGACACGCTTTGTCTTTTTTGTCTCCTTGTGTAGTCATTACCGCCTTAGACATGGACGCCATGGTGAACACTGTTAAAGGATGGATGGAGAACCCGGTGAAGTTTGCACGATCCCATGGCGTGAGCGTTTCCACCACATCTGACCCTGATAGTGACATCCACATACTCATTGTGGAGGGATTTCTGCTTTATAACTACAAGTAGGTGATCATTCAGGCCAGTGTTGGGTGTAAATAGTTACAAAGCATTGGTAACACTTAGGTTGCGTTAGTAAATATTAGTTTATTCTTAACTAATAACATTAACTAATGTTGATGTTGGATTTTAATAATTATAATGCATTACTAAAAGTTTAATTTATTATTTTTTCTGTACATTTATTTTATTTTTTTTTATTATTATTAATATATTTTTTATTTAATGCATTTCCTTTTCATCAATTTTTTTTTATTATTATTTTTTTTATGTCAATTTGTCTTTTCTTTTTTTCAATTTATGTATGGTTCAAAAAAAAGAAAGAAAAAACGAAAATACCTTTGTAATTGAATACCTTTAATGTACTGTACCTTTTGTCAAAAACACAATAAAAAATAAAAAAAAAGTTTAATTTATATAGAATTATATATAGATATTTTGCATATTAACTAATAATAATAACAATAATAATCTCTAATTACCTTAATGACTAAAGGTTTTCTTTTTTACAACTGCACATGAATTTGGATGTTAATAATGCATTAGTAAATGCTGAAATATGATTATTATTTCTGGACAAGTATTGTTTATTATTACATTTACATTTACATTTAGTCATTTAGCAGACGCTTTTATCCAAAGCGACTTACAAATGAGGACATTTATTAGTTCATGTTAGTTAATACATTAACTAATGAAACCTTATATAAAGTGTGATCTAGTTACTGTAATTAAACGACTTTACATCTGATGAAGTAAACGGTTACTTTTAGGTCATTTAATTACAGCTACTTGTAATATAATTACCCTAATAATTACATAAATTCAACAGGTCTATATAAATTAATTCAGAAAAGCAGAGTGTTAGATCACACTCTCCACGCCAGATAAATAAGATCCAACCTCTAACGCCAGATCTTGTCAGGAAATGTCAGTTTCTCCAGGTTTCTGGACAACAAGTCAGCAAACCTGTTAATCAGTATTCAACTGAATTAACAGTCTACTACCAATATAGGAGTTGATTATGGAAGGAAGCCAGAGAAGAGCAGAAGCAAGAGACGAAGTGATAATTATAAATGAGCAGGGTTTATTAAATAATCTTAGTTTCATGTGTTCCGGTGTGCTCTCATAGTTCGTCTGAACAGCACAAATATTCATTCATTCATTTTCTTTTCAACTTAGTCCCTTTAGTAATCCACAGCGGAATGAACCGCCAACTTATCCAGCATATGTCTTACGCAGCGGATGCCCTTTGAGCTGCAACCCATCACTGTTATCATAGATCAGGCCACAAGACCTTGAATTAGAGACATACCCTCATATTTCATATCAGTGGAGAGGAAAACTGTTATAAAACGCCATCACTATAAGACTAAACCATGAAAAAATGGAATAAATGATTGATATAATAAATGATAAACATGAATAAATAAAAAATAATAATTAAATCAATAGATGACTAAATGAATAACTAAGATTTATAAATGATTATATAGCCACAACTGAAATTATCAATGCAAAACAAAACAAAAACAAATCATAATATAATCTAGAATTGATTTCATTTAAAGCACACACAGGTTATCACATATTTCAGATTTTATAAGAGTAAAGAGTGATATATATTTTGCAGATTAATTATATTAATAACATTTCAACTAAAAAAGTATTATAATTTATCAAAACAACTGCATATGCTTAATAAAATAATTAATTGAGAAATTAGATTACTACAATACAAGGAATACATTTAAATAAAGCAGATGAAGTGAAGTTATTAATAAAAAAAATATAAAATTAAGCAGAGTAATTGTAAATATATATATATATATATGTGTGTGTGTGTGTGTGTGTGTGTGTGTGTGTGTATATATGTATGTATATATATATATATATATATATATATATATATATATATATATATATATATATATATATATATATATATATATATATATAGAATATATATAGAGAGAGAGAGATATTTAGCTTATTAACTTAACCTAATAATAATAATAATTGCTAATTACCCTAATGATTAAAGCTTTTATTTTTCTGACAACTGCACATGCTTAATAAATAGAAATGTATACCAAAATATATATGTATGAAATATAGTGTCAATACTATTGTGTTTTGATGCATATATTGTTTAAATGAAGGGTTTTGGGTTTCAATGTTTTATTATTAGAAATTTTTGCAGACATTCACTTGAAAATACACTTTTTTTTAAACATAAACATAAAACTTAGAAAAGTTTTCTACATTTGAGACATTTGAAAATAAAATTAATAAATAAAAAAATTAAAACCAACAATGAACAACAGTAATAAAAATAATAATTAAACAAAGTTAACATTTAAAACATTAAATAAACATGCATTCTCCCCACCAGCCACCCACCAGTGCTATCCAACAATAAACGTAGGTCCTAAAGGCATAGTAAACATATTAATCACACGTTTGTAAAAATGAAATAAAAGGGGACCACTTTTTTTTAAATGACAAAACCTTGTCTATTAGGGCTGTTAGATTCAGATTTTTTCCAGATGTAGTGTACCTGTTAACTCTGTCAACCATGATTTAAGAGTTGGAACTTTTTTTTTCTTCCAAAACCCATATGAAACAAACTGTTGTTGTACCCGTGCAAATCTCAAAAATTCTTCGGAAACTCCAAATATAATTAATATAGGATCTGGTTCAATTGGAGCGTGTTTTTAAAAGCAAAGCTAAAAGATTCTGTTTGACTCCAGTTTAAATCATTAAAAGTTTACTTTACATTGTCCATGCATTCAGATTTATGTGGATTACTATTTAGTCAAGCGATTAAATGACTTATTGAGTAACTATAGGTCACATTTCAGACAAAGTAATAAGAAAAGTCATTTAAATACAGATTTATTACAATGATTACGTCCTTATTTTGGTTATTAATCATACAAATGTGAGCATAAAATTGATGGTTTGCTCTCATTTCCACCTTCAGGCCTTTAATTGACGTCTATAACAAGTGCTTCTACGTCACCATTCCATATGAAGAGTGCAAAAGGAGAAGAAGGTGAGGTTGATTATTAAAAATCATGGATGTTCGATGGATTTGTTGAGTCTTTTCTAACAAATCTGGTGTTGTCATTTCAGTACGAGAACGTACACCGTTCCTGACCCACCCGGTCTGTTTGACGGCCATGTTTGGCCAATGTACTTGAAACACAGGACAGAAATGGAGAACAGCAGCTTGGATATCCGTAAGTCAATCAATAGTAGTTGTAATAATAAAATGGCATTCACAAACAAGATCATTTAAGTAAATGAAAACTTCAAAAGCTGTTGGACAGAAGCATTTTTGTTAGCATTTTGTTTTGTTTTGACCAGAAATGGGCATGTTTAACTACATATATGATCTTTTAACATATCTTTACTTTTATTCCTTTAAGTTGCATTTCTGTGGTTTTCGGCTGTGGTGTTTAGTTTATTTTTATTAGCAAGAGGTTTAAACAAGAGTTAATGTAAGAAGAACAAACAATATTCTTTGCTTCGGTCTGTTAACTCTGCTAAACTACAATTTATAAAACTAAATTTAATATATTTAGTTTTTACTAAATAGAAACATGTTCACAAAATAAAAACTAAACAACACAAAAAAATGCTGGTTTGCACACAATCTATTTGTGTTGGGACAACATGAAGGAATTAGGTTAGCTTATTAGTTTTCAGTATTAAGCACTAATACTGTGATGCAAAATCTGACCTGTGGCTGTTTATCATATTTATAATATGATATTTAATATGACAAAGTGTGTCTTAATTTTTTATTTTATTCCTTTAAGCTACATGTGTGTGGTTTTAGTAAGAGTAAGAGATTTAGAGAAGAGTTAATATAAGCTGTGCAAGGTCTGTTAACTGGAAATAAATAAATATAAATGAGCAATTCCATGAAAATGTCAACCTTGCCATGAAAAGAAAAATGTTTTCACCAAAAAAATGAAACCGTTTCTACATTTTTTGCGCAGGCAAGTGTTTTACAGTACTTTAAAAATACTTAAAAATGTCTCTGTCAATGTTTTTAAACTATTATATTTGATTTAACAAAGTCAAACAAATGGCAATTTCACATCCGTCACATCCATAACGAAAAAGTGTCACATCCATAACAAAGCTTTTGCCTCAAAAATGCAAAAATGTCAAAATAAAATAAAATCAATCAGTTTTGTTCTATAAAGAACCAACTCTTATCCTTTTGTTGAGCATTATTTATTTTGGGTTATGCAGTTTAATTCACAGAATTTCTGCGAAATATGTTGTATACTGTAAACTCGCATTTTCCTTATTTAAAGTATAAAACTGTTCACAGATTGAATTCTTTTGATCCCATAACTCTGTGGTTAGTTGTTTTGGAAAATATAAACAGATGATTCAATATAATGTTAACGTATACTTTCTCTGCGAATTTATGTTTTAAATTTTTACTGCAACTGTCACATCCATAACGCTGGAATCAGCCAAATATGTTTTCAAAATGAAAACCAAACCAACTATTCATCACATGAGCTAAAACGAAAGTGAAATGTATGACAAATTTAAAAATAGGATCAAAATAAGCTATAATGACCTTGTTTACAACCCATTTCACTTTGTAATCTGCCGCTCAAATACACTATTTGCATTTGCAGAATATCTGGACGGCATGAGCTCTAAGGACGAGCTCTATAACCAACTTTATGAAGACATTCAGAACTCTCTGTTGAACATCTTATAGGTGAGCACCTCCATCTTTTGTATGCTCTGTTCACAATTTCCTGCAAACTCTACAGGAAACTTACTGTAAATCAATTACAGCAAAAATACTTATATTAATATATTAAATAATATATTTACATTATTTATAAATGTAAATAATATATTTACAGCACCATTTATCTTGTTGTAATGTACTTACAGTCTTTTATATCTTTACTGTAAACTATGAAGCAATTAAAAACCTTAAAATACAGTAACATACCGCATAACTGTTCTACAGTAAAATACAGTTTACATTACAGTTAAATACTGTGTAACTTACAAAAACAGTGTGTATATATGTGACTGCAAAGATGTTTAACTAATCATCTGTGTTTTTCTTCTCGTTGCAGCATCTCCAATCGGATTGAAGATGTGTTTGTGTATAGAACTGTAAATAGGATCTTAAGTAGATTCGGCTTCTGCCACTGGATGAACTTTGTAAATACGATGAAGTACTAACTTATTTGAAAACTTGTGGCTAGTGCCTTTGATTTTATATTGCTCTGTGTAACTTTTGTTTTATTTAAAATCACGCCTCACTCTCTGGGCTGATCAGAGATGTACAGTTTTCATGTATACTGTAATTGAAGAACTTCAATCAAAACACACATTTGAACTCTTTATCTGTTGTGTTTTCATTCTTAGCATTGAGACGTGCATGCATTTAAACCATCTTGTGCATGTTTATGGATTATGATGAAGGAATATAATAAAAATATAAAATAAATAACACATAACTCAAGAAATAAATATGAATGTATTGGGCAAGATATAACATATATACATTTTAATTAAAACATTTCACAGAGTTTAAGTAAATACTGTAAAATTCCAGGGCTTTTAATGTAAAGATTGTTCATTTACATGAAAATGCATTAGATATTATGTATGCGCTTTCATTCTCAGCATTAAAACATGCATGTTATTTTAAAAAACATGCAAATATTTCCCAAATGATGTTGAACCGAGCAAGGAAATTTTCACAGTATGTCTGATAATATTTTTTCTTCTGGAGAAAGTCTTGTTTGTTTTATTTCGGCTAATAAAATAATCTTGTACATGTTTATGGATCATGAAGAAGGAATATAATTAAATATATAATACAATTATTAAATAGATAAAAGATAACTCAAGAAATAAATTGCAATGTAAAGGGCAAAATATAATATATTTAATTAAAACATTATATTGCAATGCATTACATTTTAATTAAAACATTTCACAGAATTCAAGCATATACTGTAAAATTGCAGGGCTTTTTTATGTAAAGATTGTTCATTTACATGAAAATGCATTAGACATTATGCATGCACTTTCATTCTCAGCATCGAAACATGCATGTAAACCATCCTGTTTATGGATCATCATGAAGCAATAAAATAAAATAATATCATAGAATTATTAAATAAATAAAAGATTATGCAAGACATAAATTGCAATGTAATGGGTAAAATATTAAATATTATAGAAATAATTATTAAAATAAATCTCAATGCATTGTATTTAAAACATTTCATAAAATTCAAGTATATACAATTGCAGGGCTTTTTTATGCAAAGATTGTTCATTTACATAAGAATGCATTAGACATAATGCATGCATTTTCATTCTTAGCATTAAAACATGCATGTAAACCATCTTGTACTTGTTTATGGAATATGATGAAGGAATATAATTAAATATTTCATAAAATTATAAAATAAATAAGAGGTTACTCAAGAAATAAATTGCAATGTAATGAGCAAAATATAACATATTTAATAATATTATTAAATTACAATGCATTAGATTTTAATTAAAACATTTAATAGAATATACTAAATCAAGTATATACTGTAAAATTGCAGGGCTTTTTATGTAAAGATTTTTCATTTAAATAAAATTGCATTATACATTATGCATGCGCTTTCATTCTTAGCATTGAAACATGCATTTAAACTATCTTGTACATGTTTAGGGATTATGATGAAGGAATATAATTAAATATTTTTAAACAACTGTTAAATAAATAACAGATAACTCAAGAAATAAATTGCAATGTAACGGGCAAAATATAACATATTTAATAAAATTATTAAATTACAATGCATTTGATTTTAATTTAATTATTTAATAGAATTCAAGTATATACTGTAAAATTGCAGGGCTTTTTATGTAAAGATTTTTCATTTACATAAAATTGCATTGTACATTATGCATGCGCTTTCATTCTTAGCATTGAAAAATGCATTTAAACCATCTTGTACATGTTTATTGATTATGATGGAGGAATATAATAAAATATTTCATAAAATTATTAAATAACAGTGAATTCAAGTAATAAATTGCAATGTAACGGGCAAAATATTAAATATTTCAAAAATTATTCCTATTCTAAATTACAATGCATTACATTTCAATTAAATCAGTTAATAGAAATGCTTTTTTATGCAAATATTTTTCATTTACATAAAAATGCATGACGCTTTATGTTTGTGTGTTGTATTTATTGCAAAGGTGTGGTAATGTACTCTCACATATATAACATTTTAGGAAAATTTTATATTTATTTCAGGGACAGCAGATGCAAAATTTGTTTTTTGGCTAATTCTATATTGTACATCAATTTATTTATTAGCATTGTCCCCATCAAATAAACCTAAAATATATTCACATAATTAATAGTGCTGGGTAACGAGTCTCATCCAAAAAGTTTGTTTTGACTTGATATATGTGTGTGTTTTTTATATACATTTATTTTGTATATGTGATACACAATCTAATTACAGATGTTTAAATGTATTTGTATCATATACAATCAATCTAAATATAAATATACATTTTCTCAAATATATCCATATTTATATACACGTAATAAATATACACAGTACACACGCACACGTCAAAACAAACTTTTAAGTTGGTTAATCGCCATGTTTACTGACGCCATCGTATTTATTAATTATGTATTAATCTAATTGAATTAACTCCATTATTTACCTCCATTTGCTTTATCAAAACCCACTTAGTTACATCACAGTTACAGGAGAGTTTCATCTGGTTTTACATTCATTCATATGTCTATTTACTGTATAGTTAATGCCATATTACTACAGCACATAAGCAAACACATGATATCAGTCACTCAGACTCGAGGTCATTTCAGTGCGTAGTCATTTATAGTTCACCACTTGTATGAAATGTCAATGTTAAATTTTATTGAAGTACACACAATCAGATGCCTTCTCTTATTTTATCATCTGAACATCAAGTACCTTAGAGCATAATATGCATTCTCATTTAATAATTTCAATAAATACCCTACTGAAAAAAACAGCTTAAACCATATGTTGGTTTGATGGTTTTAGCTGGTTGACCAGGCTGAGTTTAGAGGGGTTTTGGCCATTTCCAGGCTGGTTTCCAGCCATTTCCAGCCTGGTCTTAGCTGGTCAGGCTGGAAGATGACCAGCTAAAACCAGCTTGACCAGCCTAGCCAGGTTGGGAGCTCAGCCAGGCTGGTCAAGCTGGTTTTAGCTGGATTTAGCAGGTCATTTTCCAGCCTGACCAGCTAAGACCAGGCTGGAAATGGCTGAAAACCAGCCTGGAAGTTGCCAAAACCACTCTAAAACCAGCCTGGTCAACCAGCTAAAACCAGCCAACCAGCCTAGGCTGGTTTATGCTGGATTTTTCAGCAGAGTTAGCAGGTTCAGTTAGTGGTTTTGTTTTTTCCATTATGAATCTCATATAACATCAACAACATAAAGTATAATAATGTTTAATAGTGTTGATATATGATATTAGTCTATATAGAAGAATGAAAATGAGCGTCATTTATAGCTAATCATTGTGTAACACAGCTGCTGACAACAGTTCTAATAGTACCAGATACAGGAACAAAACTTGCATAATCATTGAAAGCTGTTTGTAGTATTAACGTTTATCTGAATTTTGTCTCATTTAAGTATCAAAACAAAATGGCGACACGAATAACAAAGCCGAGTCGAACTTTTAATATGTAAATCCAGGCGTTTCCCGCGTCGTGATGTTGAGAGTTGATGTCAAACATGGCGGCCAACAGGTCTGTTATTTATTGTTATGAATGATTCATTTTAAGGCGCATTATCGATCATATTAACGTAAGAATGGACCACTTACTTACGTGTTTTTGACTTCCGGTATTCCGGTTGTTTTACCTTTCTAAAAACGGTAGTTTTTGCTACACCATTGCTAACATGTTTAACACTTTATTATGACAGTCTTTTACCCTCTATTGCACTGTTGTTTAGTTATAGCTTGTTTTCAGTAGGATATATCGTCTAATGAATCTGGTAAGTTAATTAAAAAATGGTTTATAAAGTGTTGTAATATAATTTTTGGTTTAAAATAAAATATGGGCATAATGTCTCTTGTTTTCCCTTTTAATAGTTTGTTTCTGATCCAATTTGCAATAATAATAATAATAATAATAATAATAATAATACATGTAAATGATATCTATCAAAGCAGTTAAAAATATTCTTAACACGTTTCCCAAGGTTTGGGTCATATAAAGTAATTAAAATAGTTTATTAGATGTCATGGATAGATGGTGTGTTGTTTATAGATATGCCAATCTTTGAACTATTCTAAGATGTTTACTCCTAGATTATAGCAATAATTGTGTGCATGCTGTGTTTGTTTTATTATATTTACAGCAAAATGTAATTGCAGTCAGACTGTTTTAAAGAAGTCAAGGGTGGGTAAATTATGTTACATTTTTAGTGATTATCTGTTTGATACATTAAGACTATTTGATTAAAACTGTCAAAAAACTCAAATTCAAAACAACAATACACTCACCGGCCACTTTATTAGGTACACCTGTCTAACTGTTTTCTAATCAGCCAATCACATGGCAGCAACTCAATGCATTTAGGCATGTAGACATGGTCAAGACGATCTGCTGCAGTTGAAACTGAGCATCAGAATAGAGAAGCAAGGGGATTTAAGTGACTGAACGTGGCATGGAAACTGCTGATCTACTGGGATTTTCACACACAACCATCTCTAGGGTTTACAGAGAATGGTCTGAACAAGAAAAAAATTTAGTGAGTGGCAGTTCTGTGGGTGCAAATGCCTTGTTGATGCCAGAGGTCAGAGGAGAATGGCCAGACTGGTTCCAACTAATAGAAAGGCAAGAGTAAATCAAATAAGCACTCTGTACAACCGAGGTCTGCAGAAGAGCATCTCTGAACACACAACACGTCCAACCTTAAGGCAGATGGGCTACAGCAGCAGAAGAGCACACCAGGTGCCTCTCCTGTCAGCTAAGAACAGGAAACTGAGTCTACAATTCACACAGGCTCACCAAAACTGCACAATAGAAGATTGGAGAAACGTTGCCTGCTCTGATGAGTCTCCATTTCTGCTGCCACATTCGGATGATCGGATCAGAATATGGCGTCAACAACATGAAAGCATGAATCCATCGTGCCTTGTATCAACGGTTCCAGCAGGATAACTCACCATGTCATAAAGCGTAAATCTCAGACTGGATTGTTGAACATGACAATGAGTTCATTGTACTCAAATGGCCAACACAGTCACCAGATCTCAATCCAATAGAGCACTTTTGGGATATGTTAAAACAGGAGATCGGCATCATGGATGTGCAGCCGACAAATCTGCAGCAACTGCGTGATGCTATCATGTCAGCATGGAGCAAAATCTCTGAGGAATATTTTCAGTACCTTGTTGAGTCTATGCCACCAAGGATTAAGGCAGCTCTGAAGGCAAAACTGGATCCAACTCTGTACTAGTAAGGTGTACCTAATAAAATGGCCAGTGAGTGTAAATACAGTATATCTGTCAGAAAAAAATCAGGGTGAAATATATTTCTTTTCCACTTTTAAGCAAATATTCTTGTTTAGCATCTTGATTTAAGAATGATTACATGTTTTTATTGTTAAATAACGAAACACGAAAGTAAATTGTGCTGTTTAAGCATGAATTTTCATGAATATTGATGTGTGTTGCAGATTAGAAACTTAGATTTTTGGAGAATAGGATTAATGTTAGATTATGAGAAATCCTTCTGCAAGTCAACTGCTTTGTCAGCAAATAAATGCAATTTATGGAGATATTTTCTGAAAACCTGAAGGGACACAGGATAATTTTCTTAGGAAAAAAGGCAGAAAAAGAGTCTATTGTAGTCCAGCAGGTTGTCAGACAGAATGAAAAGCATGTCTATGACTGTACTGTGGCATCTTTAGTGGATCAGAGTGTCTCTTATGCACTGAGGGTGTGTGTTTTGTGTGTGAGGTGTTATATTTAGGCCACATGCCTTCAGTGTCAGGAGGGACGCTTCACTTTGAGATGTAAATAGATGTTCATTCTCTGACCTCTGTGCAGTTCGGGCCCTCGTGACCATGTGACCCTCTGTGTGTCAGCCAGAAGCCTGGACCACGAGGTACAGCTGGGGGAAAGGTGAGAACGGCTAAGACGTCACAGTTTTTCACGAACACCTCAAAATGAGTAGCAGAGATGCAGATCAAGTTTGATCTATTTTGGTTGAAATGCAAGGCTTGACATTTATGGGGTTATATTTGCGACACAATTTTGCGCACAAAAGATCATGTTTTAAATTGGCTTGTGTGTGTGTAAAATGTCTGTGTGCAAAAATTGTGTACTGAGCACACGATTTGACTTGTTCATAGCGCAAAAGATCATGTTTTGAGAGTGAAAATGGCTTGTGTGTGTGCGTAAACGGATTTTGAAGACACAGATTGACTTGTTGTGCATGCATAAACATCATTTTTTGAGCACAAAAAATGACTTGTGTGCATGTAAACAAGAATGCACACAAAAAAATCAAGCTTTGAACTGCTAAAAGGGCTTGTTGTGTGAGCGTGAACAAGTCTGCGCACAAAAGATCATGTTTTGAATACGAAAGTGGCTTGTTGCGCGCACGTAAACAATTCTACATGCAAAACATCTAAACAAACTTGACTTGACTGCAAAGTTGAATTTTGCTCACTCAAATGTGTTACAATTTTCATCACAAAACTGAGCTAAAATGCATGTGAAACAAGCCATTTCGCACACTCCAAATGATTTTTTGTGCACTGAGTTGTTAAAGTGCACACAACAAGCCATTTTCACACTCAAAACATGTTCTTTAGGCCGCAGAATTGGCAATGCGCACAGAACAAGCCATTTTGGGTGCTCAAAATGTGATCTTTAAAGCGCAGTGCTCAAAAGAAGCTACTTTTCACGCTCAAAACATGATCTTTTTGCATGCATACTTAATTTCATGCACTCAGATTTTTCATGCTCAACATGATTTTGTGTGTGGAATTGTTAACGTACACTCAACAACCAATTGTGCATGCTCAAACTATATTTGCATGCAGAATTGTTAATGCTTGCACAAGCCATTTTGCACGCTCAAAACATAATCTTTTGTGCACAGAATTGTTAACGCACACACAACAAGCCATTTTCACTCTCAAAACATGATCTTTTTGTGCAGAATTGTTCATGTGCGCACAACAAGCCATTTTGAACGCTCAGAAAATGATCTTTTGTGCGCGGAATTGTTAATGCACACACAACAAGCCATTTTCACTCTCAAAAAATGATCTTTTGTTTGCGGAATTGTTAATGCACACACAACAAGCCATTTTGCACGCTTTTAAAAAAATGATCTTTTGTGTGCGGAATTGTTAATGCACACACAACAAGCCATTTTCACTCTCAAAAAATGATCTTTTGTGTGCGGAATTGTTAACGCACACACAACAAGCTATTTTCACTCTCAGAACATGATCTTTTGTGTGCGGAATTGTTAACGCACACACAACAAGCCATTTTGCACGCTCAGAACATGATCTTTTGTGCTTAAAATTGTTAATGCACACACAACAAGCCATTTTGCACGCTCAGAACATGATCTTTTGTGCTAAAAATTATTAACGCACACACAACAAGCTATTTTCACTCTCTAAACATGATCTTTTGTGTGCGGAATTGTTAATGCACACACAACAAGCCATTTTCACTCTCAAAACATGATCCTCTGTGCTTAAAATTGTTAACACACACACAACAAGCCATTTTGCACGCTCAGAACATGATCTTTTGTGCTTAAAATTGTTAATGCACACACAACAAGCCATTTTCACTCTCAGAGCATGATCTTTTGTACACAGAAATGTTTACACACACACACACAAGCCATTTTCATGCTCAAAACATGATCTTTTGTACGCAGAATTGTTAACACACACACAACAAGCCATTTTTGCACGCTCAGAACATGATCTTTTGTGCTTAAAATTGTTAATTCACACACAACAAGCCATTTTCATGCTCAAAACATGATCTTTTGTACGCAGAATTGTTAACGCACACACAACAAGCCATTTTGCACGCTCAGAACATGATCTTTTGTGCGCAGAATTGTTAACACACACACAACAAGCCATTTTGCACGCTCAGAACATGATCTTTTGTGCTTAAAATTGTTAATGCACACACAACAAGCCATTTTCATGCTCAAAACATGATCTTTTGTACACAGAAATGTTTACATACACACACACACAAGCCATTTTGGCGCTCAAAACATGATCTCTTGCATGTAGATTTGTGTCACAAATAACACCCCATAGATATCTTTTAAGTGTGACCCCTGTGAGTGAAACAAGGTTATTACCGTCTTTTTAAATGTGTTTTTTATTGAATACAGTTTTTTAATTGTGCTGTAAATTTGAGTTCAGTTTTAGTTTGTTTGAATAAGGGTTTTCTTTGTTTTACTTTCATTTTTATTTTGTGAAGACGTTTCTATTTAGTTTTTTTTTTTTTTTTTTTTTTTTTTTTTTTCAGTTTTAGTAAGTCTACTTTAGTGGTGTCTAAACTGAGTCCTGGAGGGCCGGTGTCCTGCATAGTTCAGCTCCAACTTGCTTCAACACACCTGCCAGGAAGTTTCTAGTATATCTAGTAAGAGATTGATAAGCTGGTTCAGCTGTGTTTGATTAGGGTTGGAGCTAAACTCTCCAGAACACCGGCCCTCCAGGACCGAGTTTGCACACCCTTGTTCTAGTTGATTAGAGTTATCTGAACACTGTAAGTGTTTGTACAGCTTACGTCAAATCTTTTATTAATAAAGGTAAGAATATTTAGTTAAAGGAAGGGCATCCACTGCGTAAAAACGTGCTGGATAAGTTGGCGGTTCATTCCGCTGTGGCGACCCTGGATTAATAAAGGGACTAAGCCGACAAGGAAATGAATGAATGAATGATGAAGAATTCAGACAAGCCTACATATTAAAGATCATGTATGTAGTTAAACATGCCTAGATTAACAGACAGAGAAAAGATAGGACACTTGCTTTGTTTATATAAATATATATTTGCTAAATATTATTTTATTTCATTGACTGTTGTTCATTTAATTTAGTTTTAATTGTCATTTATTGTGAATTTTATTTCATCTTAGCACATTAACATTTTAATTAGAGTTTTAGTTTACTAAAATAACCTTGGACCACTGAAACATAAAACAGCTCCAACTATGACCATGCAGAAAGTGATGTGTGTGTGCATGTGTGTGTGTGAGGGACTTTTCCTGGACCGAAATTGTTACCACACGCCCTCATATCTGGGATGGTTGCAGAGCGGCAGCTGCCTTCCCTTCAGCAGCTGTAAATGTGTGAGGAACATTTCACTCATATACCAGATGACAGAGGCATTTTTGTGTTCGCTCAGGTCTAATTTTAGAGCTTAGTGCTTTTGAACAATGAAACTTGCATTGGATTGATTTCAAGTTACTCAAATATTCATTGAAAAACTTATATACTCAAAGTTTTTGTAGCTGTGTGTATATGATCACAAAGAGGCATAGTATATTCTGTCATAAATGTATTTATTATCAGAAATGCTGAATCTCAAGTCTAATCCTTTGTGTGGTATTATTGCTGCATTGTATAATGGGTGTGTGTGTGTGTATGTATATATAAAATATATATACAAAAACAAGATGCCATGTGTATGTGTGTGTGTACGTGAAATTCATTTTTAAATATATCCCATGTGTTTTTAACAGACATTTAAAATTCATTTTCTCATATTTTCCTATTATCATTTTCTTTTAGAAAAAGTCTTATTTCTTTTTGGCTGGTAATTTCTATTAATTTATCTGTAATAATTTTTAAGATCAATATTATTGACACCTCCAAATTTTTTCAAATGGTTAGCTGAAATGGTTTCTGCCCTCAAGTTGGAAAGGTTACGCTTCTCTAGATTTGGCAAACAAAAGTTGTATGACAAAACATGGGGCTTTAGATGTATAGGTTAATAATGTTTCTGTAATAATTTTTTCTAGTAATAATTTTTTTCTTCTCTCCACTTCCTTTTTACATGTTATTCTATTTTGTTTCTTATTCCATCAGTCTGGGTAAAATTTCTTTGTTGTTTTTTGATGGTGCTGTATAATTGCTGTAATGTTTGCTTGTGTTTTGGTGCATGTTCTAGTTAGTATAAGGTAATAACACCGAGATAAGTTTGTTAACATATATACATGATGCACATTATTTGGTGTTATGTTTTTACAAAAACTTCTATAAATAATTTTTTTTTTTAAATCAATATTATTAGCCTCCTTAAAATAAGGGCTAATACTTTTGCCTTCAACTGTATATTTTATTGATATATATATATATATATATATATATTTAAATTTTTTTCTTTTTTTTTCAAATGAGAAAGGATTTTTTTCACAGTATTTCCTATTATAAAAAAGAAAAAAAATTAAATATATATATATATATATATATATATATATATATATATATATATATATATAAATATATATAAATATATATATTTTTTTCTTTTTTTTTTCAAATGAGAAAGGATTTTTTTCACAGTATTTCCTATTATATTTTTTCTTCTGGAGAAAGTCTCGGCTAGAATAAAATCAGTTTTTAATTTATTTCAAACCCATTTTAAGGTCAATATTACTAGCCCCTTATTCAATATTTGTTTTGGATTGTCTACGGAACAAACCACTGTTATACAATGACTTGCCTAATTACCCTAACCTGCATAATTAACATAGTTAAGCCTTTAAATGTCACTTTAAGCTGAATACTAATGTCTTGAAAAATATCTAGTCAAGTTTTGTTTTGACTCTCTATAAAACAAAAATGATTGTTTTATTTAATTTAATATTTTAACATTTATGAGGAAAAAGTCTCGTTATGGATGTGACATTTCCCCGTTATTAATGTGACAGATGTGAAACTGCCACTTGTGTGACTTTGGTAAATCAAATAGAATAGTTTGAAAACATTGACAGATGCAGTTTTGAGTACTTGCTCACAAAAAAACCCCAGAAACGGTTTCTGTTTTGTGAAAAGTGAAAAAGTTGACATTTGCACAGAATTGCTCATTTATATATACTCTTACTAGCCACTTTATTAGGTATACCTTACTATTACTGGGTTAGACCTCCTTTGCCTTCAGAGCTGTCTTAATTCTTTGTGTCATAGATAAAAAAAAATACTGAAAATATTCCTCAGAGATTTTGCTTCATATTGACAGGCTGCACATCCATGATGCGAATCTACTAGCTTGAACCGCTGATACAAGGCAAGGCAGCTTGGCTTTACATTGTTAGTTTAGAATTAATGTAGAATAATAAGTACAGTAATATAATTTGTTGTGTGCCTCCAGTTTATTTATATACATTTTTGTTTTCATACATTTTTTCTTACATGCTGATTTGCTATAATCAATATACTGTATGATGGGCAGTTTATTAAACAGACCAAACTAATGAGTTGAACTAATGGCCAGACTGGTTTAACAACAGGTCAGCTTGCACCTGGCAGCTGCCACAAGAGTCTAACCAGTCTGAACAAGCAAGAACTTCAATCTGAGTTTCTTTTTCCATCAGACACAGAGCAGATCTGCTCTTCCTCCATTTCTCGCAGGGCAGCAGAGTTTATTTTCAGACGCGTCTCAGGTTAACTTATGGATCTCCGTAACGCGTGACGTAACGCAACGCTTCTCGGTTTAAATGCACATGGACGAGTTCGGATGTTAAAACTGAAGGACATTTAGCCTTCAGGACACAAGTGCCAGCAGGAATCAAGATCATTCGCGCGTTTTTAATTGGGAACACGAGCGCGCGCGTACAAGTGTCATAATACAGCATGATAAATTAGTGACTTGCGTTTTTATGACCCTCATAAAGATAGAAGCGAAAGCCTTATTTTTGAGAAAAAGTAAAGGGCATGGCCAGATAATGAACTTTACCTGGTTGTCTTTCTTACTGAAGGAAATAGGCTACTTTTAGTACATTAATTTTAACGTTTTTACGTTCTGTTTCTCCTTACAAATACAAATGTGTATATCGTCATATTTCTTTATTTTTAAATACATATTACTTTATTTAAATTAACTTAAAATTAATTTAAGCAAATAAAAGAGGAAATATAAATATAAGGAGGACAATATTAAGAGAATATAAACATAAATATTTTCCACAATCGACTACTGTAAATTTTAGGTTATATATATATATATATATATATATATATATATATATATATATATATATATATATATATATATATATATATATATAGTTGAAGTCTGAATTATTAGCCCACCTTTGATTTTTATTTTCTTTTTTAAATATTTCCCAAATTATGTTTAACAGATTCAGAAAATTTTCACAGTATGTCTGATAATATTTTTTCTCCTGGAGAAAGTCTTATTTGTTTTATTTTGGCTAGAATAAAAGCAGTTTTTAATTTTTTTAAAGCCATTTTAAGGACAAAATTATTAGTCCCTTTAAGCTACATTTTTCCCTAATAGTCTACAGAACAAACCATCTTTATACAATAACTTGCCTAATTACCCTAACCTGCGTAGTTACCCTAATTAACCCAGTTAAGCTTTTAAATATCACTTTAAGCTGTACAGAAATGTCTTAAAATATCTAGTTAAATATTATTTACTGTCATCACTGCAAAGATAAAATAAATCAGTTATTAGAGATGAGTTATTAAAACTATTATGTTTAGAAATGTGTTGAAGAACTTTTCTCTCCGTTAAACAGAAATTGGCGAAAAATAAACAGGGGATAGATATATATATATATGTCATATGATTTGCAGTTTATCTCGCTGTCAAAGACTGGAATAAGCCATAGTAAGTTATTGAAGTTTATTTAAATAGCCTAATTCAAAAACACACGTTCTGCAAACCAAGTTTAACATTCCCAGAACATTTTGGAAACAAATAATTGGTATTAGGTTATATGCTTGTGACAAATACAAGAAAAGATCGTGTGCAGTTGTTTCATATATGTATTTTCTTGCGAATTTAATCAGATTTCATGAAGAATATTCCTGGGGCGCTTTTGGAGACGCGCGTTTTACGCACAAGATTGATACTTCAAAATGAGACAAATAAACATTCTGTTCACTGAATTACAGCTCAATATTCACGTGTATCCATTTCCGTTGATCCGCTTCCACTTTTCTCCAGAACAAATATTATATCCCATGATCATCCACAAGCCCGAGAGCTTGTTTATGTTCAGTTACATCTCCTTGAAAGGCAGAAATGCGTTTTCTCACCTGCTTCCAGACGTAAATTAAAGGTGACCTTCAGCCCTTATTTTAGGCACTATCATTTAGTTGGCAATTCCTCGAAGAATAATGTACGTGGCATCAGGGAATATATAATCCTTTTGGGGAAATCTTGTGCTCAAACCATTAAAGACCATCTTCGTAAAATCAGACAAAGATCAGTGCAGCTCTGGTCACCTAGATTTACCAATGAAATAATTTCAAAGCGTAAAGCAGCGTTAGTTCGAGATGTCGGGAGGATTTGATTTGATCAACAGAGAAACAACAACCAGGAGCGCCAAAGAAAAGTTTATTATTTGCTATACTGTATATATTCGCTCTCTCTTACACACAATGTCTGGAACGCAACGCTTCTGCTTGTGATTTGCGTTACACATTTTGCACTTTATTATACACACAAGTAAAGATGTTTGATACTTACTGTAGTCTAAACTGTATCTATGATCTTCTGCTGGGTGAGTGTGCGTGTGTGTCGCTCTCTGCTCGGCTTTATGGAGTGTGTGTTCGGGGTGTTTCCACATCATCAGCAGCTCTTCTGCTCTATTTCTGTTCGCGGTGTCGCGTTTCTCTCTGCGCCTCTTACCTTTTTTGGCTTGCAGAGAAACACCTCACATGAAGACATACATTACTTTAAATTCTGTGTAAAACTTAAATACCTTATAATGAATAATTATCTTGAGTGGTGGAGAGCTTCACAGTTAAAGGGATAGTTCACCCAAAAATGAAAATTCTGTCTATATTTACTTACCCTTTTCTGACCTTTATAAGTTTCTTTTTGATGGGCACAAAAGAAGATCTTTTGAAGAATGTTGGAAATCTGTAACCATTGACTTTCACGGTATTTGTTTTTCCTACTATGGAAGTCAATGGTTGCAGCTTTCTTCAAAATATCTTCTTTTGTGTTTAACAGAAGACACTCATAAAAGGTCTCCAACCACCTCAGAGAAAGTAAGTAATGAGTACATTTTCTATCCTTTTAATTTTATTATTTTATTAATTTTACTATTTTTACCATTCGTTGTTGCTTTTTAACCTGGACAGTATACACACACCGGCCACTTTATTAGGTTCACCTTATCCTTTTGCCTTCAGAAATATTCCTCAGAGATTTTGCTCCATATTGACATGATAGCATCACGAAGTTGCTGCAGATTTGTCTGCTGCACATCCATGATGTGAATCTCCTGTTCCACCACATCCCAATGCTGCTCAATTAGATTGAGAGCTGGTGACTGTGGAGGCCATTTGAGTACATTGAACTCATTGTCATGTTCAAGAATCCAGTCTGAGATGATTCACGCTTTATGACATGGTGCATTATCCTGCTGGAAGCAGCCATCAGAAGATGAGCACACTGTGGTCATAAAGGGATGGACATGGTCAGCAACAATACTCAGGTAGGCTGTGGCGTTGACACGATGCTCATTTGGTATGAGCCCAAAGTGAGCCAAGAAAACATCCCCCACATCATTACACCACCAGCAGCAGCCTGAACCGTTCTTACAAAGCAGGATGGATCCATGCTTTCATGTTGTTGATGCAAAATTCTGACCCGACCATCTGAATGTGGCAGCAGAAATGGAGACTCATCAGAGCAGGCAACGTTTCTCCAATCTTCTATTGTGCAGTTTTGGTGAGCCTGTGTGAATTGTAGACTCAGTTTCCTGTTCTTAGCTGACAGGAGCGGCACCCGGTGTGGTCTTCTGCTGCTGTAGCCCATCTGCCTCAAGGCTGGACGTGTTGTGTGTTCAGAGATGCTCTTCTGCAGAGCTCAGTTGTATCGAGTGCTTATTTGAGTTACTGTTGCCTTTCTATCAGCTGGAACCAGTCTGGCCATTCTCCTCTGGCAACAACAAGACATTTGTGCCCACAGAACTGCCGCTCACTGGATATTTCCTCTTGTTCAGACCATTCTCCGTAAACCCTAGAGATGGTTGTGCGTGAAAATCCCAGTAGATCAGCAGTTTCTGAAAAACTCAGACCAGCCCGTCTGGCACCAGCAACCATGCCACGTTCAAAGTCACTTAAATCAGCTTTCTTCCCCATTCTGATGCTCGCTTTGAATTGCAGCATATCGTCTTCACCATATGCCTAAATGCATTGAGTTGCTGCCTTGTGATTGGCTGATTAGAAATGTGCAATCATGAGTTATTGAACAGGGGTACCTAATAAAGTGGCCAGTGAGTAAATATGTCAGGGTTATTGAATAGCTGTGAATTTGCATTTACATTGGAATTTTTCAAAAGTACACTAATAAAACAAGTTTTCCTGGTGGCTCAGTGGTTAGCACTGTGTCCTCGCAACAAGAAGCTTACTGGTTTGAGTCCCGGCTGGGCCAGTTGGCATTTCTGTGTGGAGTTTGCATGTTCTCCCAATGTTGGCGTGGGTTTCCTCCGGGTGCTTCGGTTTCTCCCACAGTCCAAAGACATGTGATGTAGGTGAATTTAATAAAGTAAAATTACTGTATGTGTGTGAATGAGTGTGTTTCCCAGTACTGGGTTTGCTGGAAGGGCATCCGCTGCGTAAAACATATGCTGATAAGTTGGCGGTTCATTCCACTGTGGTGATCCCTGATAAATAAGCGACTAAGCCAAAGGAAAATTAATGAAGTTTTTCTCTACTAAATCTACAGATTTACGGTTGTGCTTCTCTATTGCACAATACTCTGCCATCTACTGGCCATTTAAGATTTAACAACACACAGATGTTGGCTCTTCTTTCAGTGTTGTTTTCAGTCTAACCACATAAAAAATATACAAAACTTGTTTTATTCTCTGAAACTCTCTTCCGTTTATGTTTGTAGCAGGTGGACATTAGCCTTTAGTTACTCTTTATTCAAAATCTTACATTTTTTGTTTAACATTTTTATTCACAATTTGTTTTATACAATAACCTTAGTGCAGAGGTGACACAGTGGGACTCCATGTTTGGGGTGACCTAGAGTCTGAACACATGCGCTATAGGGGAATTGAATAAGCTAAATTGGCCCTAGTGTACGAATGTGAAAGTGTCTGGGTGTTTCCCAGTACTGGGATGCAGCTGGAAGGGCATCCGCTGTGTAAAACATATGCTGGATAAGTTGGAGGTTCATTCCCTGATAAATAAAGGGACTAAGTGGAAGGAGAATGAATGAACGTTTCATAAGTGAAATTTAAATGAAACACCCATCTTCCCAAGTTTCATTTGACTGCACAGATGTGAACAGATATTTAGCACTTAACATATAGTGGTAATCAATAATAATAATGAAAATCTAATTAAATTAATATCATATGTAGCCTATATGTATCCTTGTTTTCGTCTGTTCTTTAAAAATATGTTAATTAGCTGTTTTTGTCTGTAAGTGTTTTCTGTTTATTTACAGTTGTGAGTTGCATTACGGGTTGTTGATCTGTGCTTTGTCGACTTTTAATGTTGAAAATTCAACTCTACAGTTTAACGTAGTGACTTTATTGACAATTTAGTGGTTTGTAATTATAATATAATATATAAGAAATAATATCTAGCGAAATAAATCAAAAATAAAAGAACAGAAAATGTGCTGCAGTTTATTACAAGGTTTCTGTAGTGTAAAACACAACACCAACCCTGACAATATAGCACTGCAAACTATTTCACACGTTTAGAAAAGTCACCTTTTCACACTTTTCAAGGTTAAAAGTTGTTGGAATAAAGCTTGAGCTCCTATAATGCAATGCAAAAGCAGAAATAAAGAAGGAAAAATAAAAACATGAATCACAAAAAACAGAAAACTGCAAATTTACGGCATTGTTTTGTTTGTTTACAATGTATAAAATATAGCATAGTTTGATAATATAGTGGGCCAATATTGTGTATAATCAGTATTATCTTTATTATTGCAGTAAATTCAGTACTGGATAAATGAATTTGAGTTTGTGTTTGTGTCTTTTAGTTCACGCTGCCATCTTGTGGAGATCAACGTGAAGCTCAACAATTGTTGTATATTCACTTGGAAACTTTGGTGAAGTTTTCCCAGTACTGGGTTGCGGCTGGAAGAGCTAAACATATGCCGGAATAGTTGGTGGTTCATTCCATTGTGGCAACCTCTGATAAATAAGGCACTAAGGCGAAGGAAAATGAATGAACTGTGGTGAAGTTAACATCTTACACTGTAAAACTATTTCTTAACTTACATTGATCAAACTGACTGAAAATATTAAGTTAAACTTTGCATAACTTAAAACAAAATGGTTGAAACCTGATTAATTTATTAAAATATGTTAAATCAACATATACAAGTACTTGTTGTCCTGACTTTTTGTATTTACATTTTTGTTAACACTTTACAATAAGGTTAATTAGTTAATGCATTTAATAACATGAACTAATCATGAACTTATTAATCATAGTTGAATATTTACTAATGCATTATTAACATTCAAGTCCATGCTTGTTAACATTAGTTAATGCACCTTGAGTTAAAATGAACTAACAATGAACAACTGTATTTTCATTAACTAACGTTTGTTAACATGAATAAATACAGTAGTAAATGTATTGTTCATTGTTTGTTCATGTTAGTAAATGCATTCATTAACATTACTAATGAACCTTATTGTAAAGTGTGACCACATTTTTTTTTACTGTGTAGCTTTAACATACATTCATCCATTTGTTTGGCTTAGTCCCTTTATTCATCAGGGATTGCCACAACAGAATGAACCAACTTCATTCATTAATTTTATTTTTGGCTTAGTCCTTTTATTAATCAGGGTTCACCACAGCAGAATGAACCGCCAACTTATCCAGCATGTGATGCCCTTCCAGCCACAACCCAGTACTGGGAAACACACATATATGTATACACACCCATTCACACACATATGTGCGCATGTGTTTGGACTGTGGGAGAAACCGGAGCACCCGCAGGAAACCCACGCCAACACTGGGAGAACATGCAAACTCCACACAGAAACGCCAACTAACCCAGGTGGGACTCAAACCAGCAACCTTACTTTTTTTTTTTTTTACTTGTATTTGTCCTAAAACTGAATGGAGAAGGATGGACTTATGAAGTAATGAGTCATTTCACAAACTCCAAATAATGATTATAAAGTCAATTTATTTTAGTTTTCAACAGTTAAATAATGCAATTCACACTAAAAATGTTTCAAAAAAAAGTTTTTTTCAATATGTTTTTATTATATAGATCAGGGGCATGGTTAATGACTGTTAATAATTGCATAAAACATCCCCAAAATCCTTCATATCTTTAATTTTGCTACCAAATGTTTGATTGTAGTTTTTGCTAAGCTTACAACTCTGTACAATAAATGACATTTCAAGAGTTCACATTTAGCTGATGATTTAATATAAGCGTGTTTGGCATGCTGTCCCGGGAGAGAGCCCTGAGCTCAAGGGATCCTTGAGCCCAGGGCTCCCTCCCGATCGTAGGGCGAGAGGAGAGCTTGAGCTTAGGTAGATCTCAAACCCCACAGCTGCGGTAGCTAAGCAAACACTTGAGAATGAAGGGAGTAGGATAGTGCCTGAATTGCTTAATCTGTTATGAATTATGTATATTTTTGGATGGAGGGAGGAAACCGGAGGACCCGGGGGAAACCCATGCGGACACAGGGAGAACACATAAACTCCGAACAGAAACTCCGACACAATCTCACGGCAATTCGTAACTTTTTGATTTAGTGGCTACGATCTAATTCGTGCAATTTAGTACGATTTGCTTATCCCCCAATGACGGTTGGGTTTAGGGGTGGGGTTAGGTTCCACGCCTTCTTTTTAAAATCATACAATTTCATACGTCTGAACTCGTACGAATTAGCCACTAAACTAGCAAAATGTAAAATACTTACGTTTTCTCGTGAGATCAGGCTGGAAACTCCCACCAGCCGGGCGAGGACCAGACCTGGCAGTGTTCTTGCTGTGGGGCAACAGTGCTAATCACTGGGCCGCCGTGCCGCCCAATCTATGGAAAGGAGGAGAAGGAGTAGGAAAGGGGGGGTTCTTCCATACGAAGTAACTGTGGGCTGAAACTGGGGTTATTAATAGTAAATGGGAAATAGTATGATTGGGAGATCGTGATTAGTAAATGCGAGATCAGCCGTGGTAAATCATAAGCATGTGATCCTCTCGAAATTTGTTTATAATTCAATTCAATTTTAATTCAATTCAGCTTTATTTGTATAGCGCTTTTACAATGCAGATTGTGTCAAAGCAGCTTCACATAAGTGGTCATAGTAACTGGATCAGGGTAGTTCAGTGTTTAGTGTTTAAGTTCAGTTCAGTTTAGCTCAGTTCAGTGTGGTTTAAAGTCATTACTGAGAGTCCAAACACTGAAGAGTAAATTCATCAATGCGTAGCTCTACCGATCCTGAACCATGCAAGACAGTGGATACAGCAGAGAGGGAAAAAAAACTTCACCGATAGGAGAGTGAAGAAAAAAAAAACCTTGAGAGAAACCAGACTCAGTTGGGCACGACCATTTTAATTTCTCCGCTGGCCAAACGTCTTGTGCAGAGCTGCAGTCTCAGCAGTGGAGGCTGGAAGCTGGCCTCAGCGAAGACTCGTCTGTCCCTGGAGCGTCACTGGAATCAGTCTCATGCTCTCCACTGCCCTATGACCAACAGCGCAGCAGCAGCTCAGGATATGGCCTGGTCCCGGATATGGACATCTTGGGATCATCTCGTCGCTGGTCTTGGATCCCATCAGTGACTCTGCATAATCTGAGGACCTCGGGATGAGTATCCCCAGATGGAAATGAAGAATAAAGAGAATAATTAGCGTAGCTGCTGTTCATAGTGTATATAAACAAGATGCAGAAACTTGTGTGGAAACCCGCTAGGTGATGCATTGAGTGCATGCTTTACTAAACAGATAGGTCTTCAATCTAGTTTTGAACTGGGAGAGTGTGTCTGAGCCTCAGACATTATCAGGAAGGCTATTCCAGAGTGTAGGAGCCATGAAGGAGAAGACTCTACCTCCTTTATTCGACTTTGCTATTTTAGGTACTACCAGAAGCCCTGAGTTTTGAGTTGGATTGTAGCGAGACAGAAGGTTGGTTAGATAAACAGGAGCTTGATTATTTAAAGCTTTATAGGTAAGAAGTGATATTTTAAATTCAATACAAAACTTATTGCAGTCAGTGTAAGGAGGATAACATTGGGTGATATGATTATATTTTCTAGACCTGGTAAGAACTCTGGCTGCTGCATTTTGTACTACCTGAAGTTTGTTAATAAAGGATGCTGAGCAGCCAGCAAACAAAGCATTACAGTAATCCAGCCTAGAGGTCATAAAAGCATAGACTAGCTTTTCTGCATCTGAGATGGATAGCATACTTCGTAATTTAGCGATATTTCTCAGATGAGAGAAGGCAGTTTTTGTGACATGGGATGTATGATTTTCAAAAGTTAGATTGCTGTCTAATATGACACACAGATCTTTATAAATGAACTCCACAAAGTGTTATATTTCACATATGTGCCTCTTTTTGCTTTGTTTTATTTATTTGTTTGTTTTGTTTGTGCATCATAAAAAAAGCTGGTTTCCACACAATCGATTTGTGTTGGAACAACATGAAGGAATTAAGTTAATTTTTTAGCTTTTATAAATATAAGTGGACTAATAATAAAACAGTTAAGTTGTCCCAGAAAAACTCAACAATTGTCTTGATTTGGCTTATTTTGAATAAGTAGTTTGAATAAACAGCAAACCTATTAGCATATGTTCGTCTTCCACTTTTATTTATTTATATAAGATGCTAAACATAGGCAACTTAAAGTTTTATGTTATTTGGTTTGTTTAAGATATTTTTTACAGTTATTTGGTTCTTTATTTTTAACATCTTGGTCTATATTTATATGTTATTTTTGATTGTATATTGTTGTAGGTTATATGTATGTTTTATGGTATTTTATATGTATCCTCAGCATGTATATTTTTCCAAAAACAAAAAAAAAATAGTTAAAGTTCATAAAACAGTTTTACATATCATCCCTGGACCCCACTGTAGACAAATGTGGTAGGTTTGAAATGAGATATGTTCATTGAATTTCATATTTTCATCACTCTTTTATTATTTAATTTTTTATTATTATTATTTTATATATATTACATTTTATATATTGAGTTTGGCATTTTTTGAGAAATATAAAGTAAATATTAAAATGTAAAGGTGCTAATTAGTATTGTTTATATACTGTACATACTTGTAACATTACTAATTTTATTATTATTAACTAACTTTCAGTTTTACAATAAAATGCTGGGTCCCACAGAATTTATTCATGTTCTCCCAACACAAATATATTCAGTTAACAAATTTAAGTTGTTTAAACATAAAACAATTAGCCCCCCACAAAAACTCAAGAATTGTGTTGTTTTAACTAATTTTAATTTTATTTAGTTTTGTTTTGTTTGTTTGTTTTTTGTGTGTGTCATAATATTTATAGCATGCTTATTCATTAATTTCCTTCAGCTTTGTCCCTGACTCATCAGAGGTCACCTCTATAGTATATTATATTTATTATAACTCTTCACTGAAAACGTGCAGTTTTGCATGTCCTGCATCAACAAAACTTAGTTTGGGAAGGAAGGAGTTAAACCTTGGCCGCGCGCGCGCGTGAATTCTCACAGTTTGATAAATGTCAGTCCGGGCAGATCTTCTCTCCATTGCACAAACTCGCGTTAGATCCGGACTATGCATTTGACGCACTACAGATTCCCACATCCAGAGGAGCGAATCATACAGCTTTAAAAAATGTTTTTTACAATTTCAAACTTCATTTTCTTTTTGTATTTACTTCAAGGACTGAATAATTTAACCAGCGCGCAAAGCTCCGCGCAATGGAGGAACCGGGTCCGATGGGTGAATAACGGCCAGGTGTTCAGTTTAATGAGCACCGGCTCCGAGTTTCACGCTCCGGTTCCGTCCAGGAGACAGTCCAGGGTGTATCAGAGCAGCAGGACGGATGCTGTTCCCGGCAGAAGCATGCAAATTCGGCTAGAAGCGATGGATAGACCTGCTAACAGCGCGCCGGACAGTGCGCTTTTGGGTCCGGACCGCGCGCAATACATCATGGCGAACAGCCGCGCTCCTGGAGCCAGACAAATGCAGGTCATGCAGAGACACAGAGCTCCTCCAGCAAGCAGAAATAACTCTACGGTCCCTTCGGAATATTCAGGTGGAGGTGGAAGAACTGGGGAAAACACCCGGAGAGGGCAAGCGGTTGCGAATTTCCAACAAATCGCAGCACCGACGGACAATTCAAACACCGTCAATTCAGATAATGGAAATGAAGCGCGAACTCCAAATGTGCCAGCCGAGCAGGGAGCTACATCTGAAACTATGCCTGGAGATGATCCGAGAAACAGGAATACAGTTTTTTATAACATTTATCCACCCGGCGGTAGGACGATTATTCCCCGCCGACCGCCGCCTGGCACCGGTTATGGCACCAGATTTTTCCAAAATGGTAAGATATGGGCTATTAAAATTTAACATATGGGAGGGAAAGTGTACATCAGGTTGACAGACCGATGTATGTTTGTGTTGCGCTTGTCTGCAGGTCTGCCGGATCTTGTGCCAGATCCATACTCCATCCAGGCGGGTTCATACATCCAGCGCGTCCAGATGTACGCGCTCCGGTGCGCGGCGGAGGAGAACTGCCTAGCGCGGTGTGTACAAAGACTATTCTATATAGTACTACGATAGTTGTATCATGAACAATTAACAACTGTATTTCCATTACACTGTAAATTCTAACATGTTCAGTTTACTTAAAAAAAGTTTGGAAACCGATTGCCTTATTTTTGCAATATAAACTTACAAGGAAATCTTAAGTTAAGTTTAATTATTGCCTTGAAGTAAGAAAACTAAAACTTATAAAGTAAACTAACTGTTAAAAATTAATTAAGTTTAATAGAAAATTCTAGTTAACATACTTGTCATTATTTAGTAATCTTACTTAAGGTTTTATAGTAAGATTACTTTAATAACTCTATTTAACTAATACTGTTCTACCATGTTCAGTTAACATCTTGAATGCTAGTAGTCTCAACATTGTTTTAATCCACCATTTTAAGTAATGTCAACTAAAGAAACTACGTGCAATCGGTTTCCACATTTTCTTCAATTAAACTGAACATAAAATATGTAGTTCAACCTACAAGTAATGACATTATACAGGTCTTAAATGTAAACATTTTATTTGACAAAATTAGCAGAATTTCACAATACACTTGTGATATTTTAGTATCACAATACACTTGTACACAATACAGTTTTGTAAAAAGCTGTTGTAAAGTCCTGTAATATACTGTAAACAGCAATACAGACAAAAAATATAATAAACATGTTCAACCCTAACACACAAGTTTTCGAAAAGGTTTGAAAATCTATCAAAAAAACTTTAAATACTTGACACTTGGGAAAAAAAGATACTTGAATTAGTGTAATTAAACATGCCATTGCACCAGCACCTTAAACATGGCAGCATATAGACACTCACAGAGGAACAGATATTAAGCTTTAAAGCTAATTTGTTAGACTGTGTAGTTTAGATTTTCCTACAGAAAATATCACATTAGTGTGGTCAAAAGTATTAAGTTTGGTATCAATCAATACTGAAATATTAAAAATATCCATTTTCCACCAGCATTTGAGTGCTACTGAGCTCGTTCTTAAACACCATTGATTGGCCACTGTGTTCACATGCTCAACAGAAATGACTGTGATTGGCTGTGACTGTCATAGGTTTACCATTTTTCACTGAGTCCAAACAAAGTTACACAGACACTGAAGTGTTTCAAAGCCATGTCGATAGCTGATTTGTTTAGAAGCTAACATATAAGCTATCTGGTGATGAATCGACTGATCGACAGTGCTTTGAAGTTATCCAGTGTCTTTGTATCTTTGCACCTGGTGAACAGTGGTGAAGTGTGGTAAAAATAATGACCTTCAAAGCCAATCAGTCATATCTACTGAGCATGTGAACACAATGGCCAATCAGTTCTTGCAATGTTAGTGGGAAATGGATGGACTTTTTTTCTTTTTTTTTTCAATACCGATTGGTACCAAACTCAATACTTTTGACAACCCTATAAATCACAATACACTTTTTTGGTAAAAAAAAAAAAAAAAGTGTATTAAACACCAAAATGCTGCAGTCCTAAATGTAACACTGCAAACAGCAACATGTTAAAAAGCAACACTTTGTAATTAAACATGCCATTATACCTGAACCTTTAAACATAAAGCACAGCAGTATATAGGCACTCGCCGAATAAAACACATTACGCTTCCCTCCCAGCAAAAGCAACACACGTTGAACAAATTCAAATGCATTGCTCAAAGTCTTTGGGTAGTCCGAATTCAGTGTGTAAATCAAAGCAAAAAAAGAGACATACTGCATGTGGCAAAGTCCATAACCACTTTTCCTTCCAGTATAAAGGCCCACATTGCATCCATAATGAGGTTCTTTAGACATCTTCACACACGACAGTCAGCAGGCCAACATCTTCTGCACTGAAGTCCGACTCTACAATTACATCCTATGAATAGAGAAAGAAAAATAAGTAAAGTTTGATATTCTAAATGGCACTAATAAAGCCTGTAGTGGCCAGGAGACCAAAAGCAGAGGTGAAAAAAATACAATTCCTTGTGCTTAATTTAGTAACACTTTAGTAGGAACCAATTACCCTATTAACTAGTTGCTTATTAGCATGACTATTTGTGTTTATAGTACATTTTACATTCAAATGCTTCTTATAAGAAGCCTTGCTATGGTGCTCCTTCTTCAATGTAGACCAACACGATGGATTTGCCTGTACTGCTTCTACTAGGCTTGTCATGATAGTGGAATTTATTACCAATCCATATAGTAATTTTAAAAACATCCATTTCCTGCTAACATTTGAGCATTGTTGAGTGTCATTTCTGTTAAGCATGTGAACAGAATGGCAAAACAGTGCTGTTTAAAAATGTGCTCAAAAGTGCTTAAAATGTTAGCAGGAAATTTGCTGCTTAAAATTGCAGCAGAGATTGGTACTAAATTCCAGTATCTTGAACATGATACTATTCTAAAGGAACAATAATTTTTTTTAATTAAAGAAACACTGTAATGTACTAAAACAAACTGCAGTAAAAGTACTTTTAAAACATTTTCAAGAAATTAAATGCAAATGTGTGAGAGACCAATTGGTGCTACATAATCAATATAAATATTTTGTAGGGAAAACTTAATAAATTGGCAACCGATTCATGAATGCATTTGGTTTTGCTAGATTAAAGCAGTGAGTCAAGTTTGCATTATTTAGCACACTTTTTAAAAATGTATTAATAACTATTTTTTAATAAGAAAATTGATGTTTTAGTATGGCTTTTAGAACAAGGGTGCAGCCATCTACAATCCCACAGCAGGTGACTTCACAGGGTTGGTTATAATACGGAGCATCTTTGACTTTGTGGCTTTTAACACTATCTTTTTACATCTTAATCCAGCAGGTTCTTTCAACTGAAATTATATTTCTCTCAACATATTACATAGGTATTACACTTATTAAGATTTTTTTTTTCAAGCTAATCTTCCTCCTTTTCAAAACAAGTGTGTTTTAAAATTAAAGAAATGCATTCATTACTTCACTGGCCTATGAAGCTAACTGACCCTGTGATGGCACAAGCTGCTGTATTTGCAACATAGCAATGCTCTTGCTCCAAAGGCCATAATATAACATCCCTCTTACTTTCAAATACTTACATTAAATGCATTTGTTTTATTTTTATAAAATTGAAAATTTTTATTAATAAGTGAAGTAAACTGGAATGACTGCTTCATTTCCAGTCTAAGAAAGCAGAAACAATAATACTACTTACAAAACACATCCTGAAAATTTCTTTAGACTCATCCCTCTAAAGGACTGAAAGACCCCGGAGAACTGCTGCCAGATGACCTTGAAAAAGTAAAGACAGGTAGACATGCATTATAGCCCAATGAAAACATCAAATGCAATTTATTGCAATCAAATGCAAATTATGATTCAAAGATGATGTCACAAAAATACCTTTGAATTAACATGTTGAAAATTTCTTCTAGTTTTCTTCTGCAATTTTCTCCTGTTTTTTTTTTTTTTATTTCAATCAAACGAGCAGTGTGTGTCCAATGCAGCGTAGAACTTGGATCTCACATTTCTTCCTGATATTCGATTGAATTCTGCAAAGATCCAATCAAAACATTATTAGTCATTAATAACATTCAAAAACACAAATTCACAAAATCACACAAAGTTTTGAAAAGAAAACAAACCTTCTGCAGCACTTGCATCAGCTGGTGTTTCCTCTATGACTTCCTTCTGGATGTCACTGTTGTGCACAAAAACGTAAAGTGTTATTGACATGGCTAAGCGAAATTCTAAAACAAAAAACAGAAATCAGAAACACATGCAATGATACAATGCAATGCCATTTAGCAACAGATGTTACACTTTAACATGACATAGTTAAATGTTCTTGAATAATAAAAGCTGCCAAATACTCCCGGCGCCTGTCATCAAAAGCATGAGCTATACTTGTCACCAAACAGTAATAAACACAACCCCCGATTAAATATAATCATGGCATTGTTGCTGGTGTGCCTTACTTTTATGCGCATTAAAAGTGGAATAAATATTTGTCTCAATTGATGTCTTTAAAAGGACACTGAACTTTCTGACTAGGGTTGCACGGTTTACCGGTACTATGGTAGTATCGTGATACTATGGCTCCAAGATACTGGCGGTGCCACTGTAGTTTGTAAACGGTAGTATTGTCATTAACAGTCTGCCTACAATACATACTGCTGCATGTGAAAAAGTCACTAAAATACTTACACGATTCAGCAACAATAGATCATTGTATTTTAATAGTCTATGGAGCCTTCTAAGGTTGTAAAACTGTAGAATTTGCGCCTTTTATAGTAGCCTATTGGATATTTTGTGATGGTTCATTTTGAATCGGAATTTGTTTATTTCTGTTCCTGTCAATATGATATAATAGCTACAACAACCGTGACAATCTATTAAAAAGAATGACTCATAAAGTGAAATTTTGAATTACTTTGGATTCTTATCCGTTAATAATTGTGAAAAAAGTATGATAGATGAAAAACCCAAAATAGCAACAGGAAACAATTTTTGACCACTTCATATAGCCTAGGTTTGTTGGAAAAATGCTCTTTTCTTTATGTATCTTTATTTTAATGTATTTTTTTTTTGCTGGAATGAATACATTTTAGGTGATGTGCAAATACTTTTTTCAACAATAAGGGAATTATTTAAATTCAAGTAGGCCTATAATAACATATACAATATATTATTTCTGACATTTTTCTTTATTTCATGGATTTAAGTTATGAATTACAGTATTGCAATACTACTTGGTATCACCATACTTCAGCTGGTATAGTATTGTAACATAAATTAATGGTATCACAACACAACAACCCTATTTCTAACTAGTCCTCAGATGATTATTCAAATGGACAAAATATTCGGACTATTCTTGATCATGCAGTTCTTTGCTGAGAATTTTGTTAAATGTACTTTTAATGCATTAAACGATTTAAAATTACCCTGACACTCAGTATGGAGACAAGGTAACGTTAATAGAACAATTCATGAATATGTTCTATGGCTTGTGCGGT